TATTTTGTAGTAGAGACGGTGGTTTCACTATCCTTGGTCAGGCTGGTCTCGAACTCCTGACCTCAGGTGATCCACCTGCCTCGGCCTCCCAAAGTGCTGGGATTACAGGCATGAGTCACTGCGCCCAGCCCAACAGTAACCAATTTTGGATTAAGACGAAGACCAAGTGTGATCATTAACAGTGGCCTCATGTGCTCCTGGTCCCCCTGTCTGACATCTGCCTATCATCAAGGGCAGAAGTGCCTTCTCTCCTACCACACCCTGACCCTTTCCATGGGTCACCCACCAGCGCACAGATCTGCCATTTCTTTATTTTGAAACAGAATCGCGCTCTGTTGCCCAGGCTGGGGTACAGTAGTATGATCTCGACTCAGTGCAACCTCCGTTTCCCTAGCTCAAGCGATCCTCCTACCTTAGTCTCCTGGGTAGCTGGCACCTGCCTCCATGCCCGGCTAATTTTTGTACTTTTTGTAGGGATGGGGTTTCACCATGTTGCCCAGGTTGGTCTCGAACCCCTGAGCTCAAGTGATCTGTCCCTCTCAGCTTCCCAAAGAGCTGGAATTACAGGCGTGAGTCACTGTGCCTGGCCCTGCACGCGAATTTGACCTTTGGTGAATGCACAGCTCTAGTCCCCTGGAAACCTGGCAGAGGTGGGTGGTCATTCTCCCTATGGCCCAACCACACCTGGGCTGGGACTCAATGATGAACAACCACAGGAAGTACATTCAGGGCTTCCTGAGCAGGTCTTGCAGCCAGTTCTCCCGACACAGGAGGTGTGGCTTGTATGACCACGAGGCTTTTGACCAGGCTAACTCCTCCTCCTACCTGCATCTTGTGTTTATGCACCTGAGTACTCCCTGGATGGCTGCTGAATGATGCTGGCTAGCTTTTCCATGAATCTGTTGCTAGGCATGGTTGTCCTGTGAGTCTGAAAAGTCAGTTGAGCCCAGTAGCTCTTTTGGTACACTTGAGCTGGTGACCCCCGTCCCTCTGACTCAACATTTCAATATGGGTGTCTCATAGCATCTCAGACACTTAATATTCCAAACCGAGCACCTCCTCTACCACCATTTCTGCGCCCAGCTTGGTCTGTGAACCTGTACATAAGCCTCCTTCCTTCTTCACTCTCACATTTCTAATTCACCTTCCAAGCACATCCAGAACCTGACCATGTTGCCCATCTCGCCCTCCCTGCCCCACGACAACCACCCCTAGATGTTCAGCAGCTCTCAGCACAGTCTGCCAGCCAAGCTCCTCCATCTACCTTCCTGTGAGAACACAGTGACTGTCCTCTGCTCCAAGGTCCTCCCAGGACCCCACTGGCTCCTCTGGGCCTGCCCCAAACTTTGTGATTTTCCTCAGAGCCCTGCAGCCCTTTATCCCTTGGCCTGTGCTCCCCATCCATCTCTTAGAGACCTCTGCCCTACCCACTGCAGCAGCCCTGGCCCCACCCAGCTCTCACCCTATCCCTTTCTCCTGCACCAGCAGACCAAGAAGCAGGCCCAACAGAGTAATCAGTGGTCGACTTTTTTTTTTTTTTTTTTTAATTACTTCTAGGCTAATGATTAAAAATTGCCAGGCAATGTACTTTTTAAAACTTTTAATTAATTTCTTAGAGACAGGGTCTCACTTTGTAGTCCAGGCTGGAGTACAGTGGCTCAATCACAGCTCAATGCAGCCTCCAACTCCTGGGCTCAGGTCATCCTCCCACTTCAGCCTCCCAAGTAGCCAGGATTACAGATCACAGCACCAGGCCTGGATAATTTAATTTTTTTTTGGTAGAGACGAGGTCTTGTTATGTTGCCCAGACTGGTCTTGAACTCCTGGGCTCAAGGGATCCTTCCTCCTTGGCCTCTGAAAGTGTCAAGATTACAGGCCTGAGCCACCACACCCAGTCTGTTTGTTGAATAAATGAATGAAGAGCAATGAGCTCACACTTTATGCCATTTGTAATAGCAAGTACGGAGTCAACACTTGCCACTGGCAGGCGTGGGAAAGTGGAGTTTCTCATACTCTTAAGAAGGCTACCTAGCAGTATTTAGGCAAATCAGACTGGCTCTTGGATAGTGGGTACCTTATAAGAATGGATGTGGGTGAGGGTGCAGATTTAAGGATGTTGCTGAGGCAAATGCTATGTTGGTCCTTCCACATACAAGTTACACACCTGCTAAAGAGGAAGATGTATGCTGTGCCAGGTTGCCAGATGGGTGAGTGAAAATGCAGTATGGGGTCATCATGCAGGGGACAATCTCATTTTGTAAACTATGACTTTGAGCTCATGAAGGGTATGTGTATCACAAGGACCTGGGACTGGTTCACCTGCCTCACTTGGGCCAGCTGCACTGAGGCCCCACCTATAAATTCAGGAGATGACACACTCCTCTGAAGGCCTGGAGATCATGTGGTTGGTGAGAGGAGAGCACTAAGAACAGGCTTGGCTCAGAGGAGGATGCTGCTGGATAAGGTGTTATTATCTATTTGATTAAATTAACACACAGAGGAAAAACTCCAACGGACAATACCAGGCTGTCAACAAGTGTGCGGCAAGGAGAAGTGAAAGGGAAAGACTGCCACCTGGGGTGAGTCTCAGAAAAGCATAAATACGAAATGCAGTATCAGGTCTCTATTGAAAGATGACCTTCACATATTGCTAAGTAAAAAAAAAAAAATCGGCCGGGCGCGGTGGCTAATACCTGTAATCCCAGCACTTTGGGAGGCCACAGGAGTTCGAGGCCAGCCTGGCCAACATAGTGAAACCCCGTCTCTACTAAAACTACAAAAAATTAGCCAGGCATGGTGGCAGGCGCCTGTAACCCCAGCTACTCGGGAGGCTAAGGCAGGAGAACTGCTTGAACTTGGGAGGCAGAGGTTGCGGTCAGCTGAGATTGTGCCACAGCACTCCAGCTGGCGTGACACAGCAAGACTCTGTCTCAAAAAAAAAAAAAAAAAATCACAGTCTGTATTCTGGTAATAAATGAACAAAAATGGCTGGGCATGGTGACTTACACCTATAATCCCAGTACTTTGGGAGGCCAAAGTGGGAGAACTGCCTGAGTTCAGGAGTTCAAGACCACCTTGGACAATATAGTGAGACCCCCGTCTCTACAAAAAAATTTTAAAAATTAGCTAGTCTGTAGACCCAGGTACTCTGGAGGCTGAGATGGGAAGACTGCTTGAGCCCAGGAGGTCAAGACTACAGTAAGCTGTGACTGCACCACTACACTCCACCCTGGGCAACAGAATGAATCCCTGTCTCAATAACTAACTAACTAACTAAATATTTAAAAATATATACAAAATACATTTTAAAAGTGGTATTAACTAGTTTAAATTTTTGCTTATACTATGGCAGATAAAAGGTTTCAGTTTCCTGGAACAAGCCTGTAACAGGAAACCAGGCCAGGCAAACACCATGGGCCTCAACCTAAACCTTGCATACTCAAGCAGAAAAACGTAAGAGCTATCTGGGGTGACAGAAACTGGCTTTTAACAACACACTCCATCCACATTTCACAGGATTCTGAGGTCTAACTCCAAGTTTTGTTCCATGAGAACACAGTTCAGGCAGGGAGAGAGCGTGATGTGGACCGTTTTTAAAAATTAAAAGACAGGCTCATGACGAGTCCTCTATAGATGCCAGGCTCCAAGGCCAGGGGCTGGGACAGGCTGGAAATCACCGCCATCGAATACTGGAAGTGGAGTTTGAGGACCCCCCTCTTGAGGCCATGCCAACAGCTAACAAATGGGCAATATAAAGAACACCCACTCAGGGCACTGGCTGAGCAACGATGCCACTCACCCACTGGTCACAAAGGTGGCAGCATGAAGAGTTCATTTTCAAACTCAGGAATTTCAATCTTGAAAATTTCCCTAAGGAATAATCCAAAACAAAAACAATAGATCAATGTTGTTAACAGCAACTGGCTTTCCAGTTTTCTTTAGGTGATCGAAAGCCACATCGCAGTGAGACACTCCTATCACTCTTTTTGGAATTCCTGACTGTCTTGATGTGACAAAGCAGTATGCCTGTCATTCCAGAGGACCCTGAACATGGTGATACACTGGGACAGGCAGATTTGGAGTCTCCTGGTCTGGGGTGAGCTGCCAGGATCTCCTCCAGAGCCACTGCCTTCTCTTGCTTCTCATTATCCTCACTCCCTGGACTTCCTGCTAACAAGCACTGCTCCCTCTTCATCACCAAGGAGCCCCTACCCCCAGGGTGAAAGCACTTTCAAGAGAGGCAGCTTCTGAGTCACCTGTGAGCACAAGGCAAAACACTGCTAAACTTGACCTAATCTAAACTAACCCTAACCTACAACCTTTCCGAATTAATGATCAGAAATACGTATCCAAATTGATAGCTTTCTGGCTGAGCACAGTGGCTCATGCCTGTAATGCCAGCACTTTGGGAGGCCAGGGTGGGTGGATCACCTGAGGTCAGGAGTTCAAGACCAGCCTGGGTGACATGATAAAACCCCGTCTCTGCTAAAAATACAAAAATCAGCCGGGTGTGGTGGCACGTGCCTGTAATTCCAGCTCCTCCCGAGGCTGAGGCATGAGAATTGCTTGAACCCGGGAGGTGGAATTTGCAGTGAGCCGAGATCCCACCATTGCACCCCAGCCTGAGTAACAGAGCGAGACTCCATCTCAAAAGATGAAAAGCAAATAAACAAACAAAACAAAAAACAAACAACCAAACTGATAGCTTATATACCAGTAACACCTAGTCAGAAAATATGAAGGGAAAAAATCTATTCAACAAATAGCAACAAGAAACAAGATTAAACTTTAGAAATGCACAGGATCCCTATAAAGAAAGCTGTAAAACATCAAGGAAACACTTGAGGACACTGATCTGGGAAAACATTTTTTGGGTAACACCTCAAAAGCACAGAAACAAAAGCAAACTAGACAAATGGAATTACATCAACTAAAAAGCTTCTGTACAGGAAAGGAAACAATCAGCAGAGTGAAGAGACAACATACAGAATGGGAGAAAATATTTACAAACTGTCCATCCAATAAGGGATTAATAACCAGAACGCAGAAGGGAGTCAAACAATTCAATAGAAAGCAACAACTAATCTGATTTAAAAACAGGTAAATGATCTGAATAATTTATCAAAAAAAGATAATATGTATGACCAACAGGCATATGAGAAAAACTAAAAATAGATCCACTATGTGACCCAGCAATTCCACTGCTTGGTATATACCCAAAAGAAAGGAAGTCAGTATATCAAAAAGATATCTGAACATACATGTTGACTGCGGCATTATTCACAATAGCTAAGATATGGAATCAACCAAAATGTACATCAAATAAATGGATACAGAAAATGTGGTGTTATGTACACAATGGAATATGATTCAGCTATAAAAATAATCAAATTATGTCATTTGCAGCAACAGGGATGGAACTGGAGGTCATTATGTTAATTGAAATATGCCAGGTACAGAAAGACAAATATTGCATGTTTTCATTTGTATGTGTGAGTTTAAAAAGTTGGTCTCATGGAGGTAGAGGGTAGAATGATGGTTAGCAGAGGATGGGAAGGGTGGGGTTGGGGGGAGGTGAACATAGGTGTTAATGACTACAAACATACAGTCAGATATAATGAATAAGTTCCAGTGTTTGATACCACGGTAAGGTGACTATAGTTAATAATTTATTGTATATTTCAAAACAACCAGAAGAAGAGATGTGAAATGCTTCTAACACAAAAAATGATGTTTGAGGTAACATATCCTAATTACCCTGATTTGATCATTATACATTGTATGCTATCCTTGTATCAAAATATCACATGTACCCCATAAATATGTATAATTATTATATTCAATAAAAAAGAACTTTAAAATACAGGTATATTTTTATTATTTTATGTGGGAAGGGCCGTTCTAAGCAAAATACCAAAAGCAGAAAGCAGAGATCCAGAGATCCACAGCTTATAAATCAAAATCGTATGCGCATCAAAGCTACCAAACTCCAAAAATGGACCTAAAGGCATGCAACAATTTAGTATATGACAAAAGTGGTTTTTCAAATCAATGGAAAGATCAATGGTATTAGAAATGCCTATGATTTAGAGGAAAAAACGAAGCTGGAGTCCACGCTCACCCCACAAGAAAATATAAATTCCAGACGTATCCAACATTTTACAAGTACCACAGAAAAACAAGAGTTTATTTTAAAAATAATCTTGGAGAGGGGAAAGCCATTTAAAACACAGCACAAAGCCCCAAATGCCTTAAGGCAAAATATTTGACTCTTAAAAATTTTAAATTTTCTATTTTGAAAAAGCCCAAACCAGAACCAAACACCACAATCAGAGTCAAAAGACAAATTGAGAAGTATCTTTTCAACACACATGGAAAAAAATATGAGCTGGTAAATCACAAAGTAATACAAACGGCTAAAACACAAATGAAGGGATTTCAACCTCACCAATAAACGAAAAACGTCGACCTGGCAGGAATGCAGTGACCTGTCAAGGGCACAGGACCAGAGCCCCGGACGGGGCGGGAATGTCAATGGCAACCTCTCACCGTTACCCACTTGGTAGAGTCCACCGGGCAGAGAAACCTACGTCCAGAAGACAGTTACGAACTGAAAAATCCACGCGCACCGACCCGGGGGAGGACGAGCGGAGCGCCCCCTGCCGCCCCGGTGTTAGTCCAAACGACAGCAGCTTCCCTTTGATGACAGAAAAAAGGGTGTGCGCGCGTGCCTAGAGCGCCAACGGCATCCGAAACTGTTCACAGTTCCTGCCTCTTCATGCACTGGCAGAGTGTTGGGGGGTGATTTATGTTTCTCTGACATGCCTGCATTACAAGTATTGCATATTATTTTCAATTTTAAAATTCAGCCAATAAACAACAAGGAAAATATTTGCTGTGTTGCAAAGCGTTGGGCTCATTCATTAAAACGGGGCTCTGACAAAGTAACAGAAAAGACAGCATCGATAGCAAAACCGGGAGAGGCTAAGACACCCGGCAAGTAGCACACTCGACCAACTGCTGAGACGAAAGCAGCTCGTTTTCGTCTTGACGCGGGAAGACTTTTTACAGCTAAATAAAGTGGCGCTCCCGGTGCGCCGCCGGGGTCTTCATGGGGCTCCTCAGGTTGTGCATAAAACAGAAAAAACCTCCATTTTTATATGTTGGGGAAGCTCCCCACCCCTTTCCGGGCCCATCCCAGGGTACACCAGACTCCCAGGAGCGCGGCAAGGAGAGCGGCCCGGGGGTCCAGACTGCGCCCCTAGGACTCCGGCCAACCTGGCCCGAGGCACGGCGCCGGTAGAAAGCGCGCGGGAGGGCCCGAGGGGGAGCAACGCCGGAGATCTGAGGAGATCCAAGGTGGGAGGGACGCCGGGGCTCCGAGGGGGCCCACGGGGGCAGGGGCGCGGAAGGGACCGAGGCCGTCCGAGGCGGGCGGGGGCGCGGGAGGGCCCGAGGGGGTCCAAGGCCGGGCGAGGGGAAGGGTGGGAACCCCGAACGGGGGAGAGGGCGCGGCCTTGGCCCTGGGGAGGAGGCCGCCGCGCGTCCATGAGGGGAGGAGACCAGCGTAAACGGAAGGGGCAGTGCGTGCTCGCGGGGAAGAGTCCACGATTCGTGTGGAGGACGCGCCGGCTCGGGTGTCCATGATGGGAGAGGGTCCTGGCCGCCGCCGACACGCGGCCCCCACTCACCGTCCACGCCGCAGCCTCACGCGCGAAGAAGCGGCATCCCGCAGCACCCTCAGACAAAGGGCTGCCCCGCCCCGTCTGCGCAGCCGCCAATCCCTGGGGGCTCCTGCCCCTCAGTTCCCGCCCCCACAGCCGAGTTCGCCAATCCTGGAGGGCAACGCATGTTTACGTCACTTGACCCGCCTCCCCGCCCGAAGCCTCCCTCGGTGACCGACTGCGGGGAGCTCTCAGGCGCCACCGAGAGCCAGGCCTCCGCGATCCCTAGAGGGGCCGAACTGCTCTGGGCTGTGGGCCCGGCCGGCACCCCGGCCGCACTTCCGGGCGCGTAGGCTACAGCCCACCTTCGAGCCTTACCCGCTCGCAGTCCCGGTTCCCGAGCTCCTGCCGCCGTCGCCCTGTGGGGGACACCCCTGCCTGCCCCGCAGCCCCTGCTCGATCTGCGCTGGCTTCGGCCGTCCTGGAACTCGAGCTCGTTCCCCCCCTCCAAGCCTTTGCCCTTGCGGTCCCCGCTGCTGGGAACGACCTTGCCCTCAGCCGCCTGGCTGGTCCCTGCGCCGCTGCAGTGCGAATGTCGCCTCCTCAGGGGCCCTTTCTCTTCCTTCGTTGCAACACTGAAGTCCTCTTGTTTGATGACTTGCGTGAGGTTATTCCGCCCACTTAGGAGGCTGAGCGCTGCGAGGTCGGAGGCGCAGCCTCTCTTCGCTGTGCCCGGCGCGGCGTGGTCCCGGCAGGGGGCGACACTGAACAGCGACCGCCTCCGTCGCCCACTCGGCCCTGGTGTTTGCTTTTTGGTGTGTTTACACCGCGCACCTGGGGGAGAGGGGCGGGCCACACCCGCGTGGAGGCTTCGGCACAGCCCAGGACCCGACAGCCGCGGCAGGGCGGGTGGGGCTGGTTTGGAGCGGTGCCAGGGGAGGGGAAGGCCGGCGCCGAGTCCACTTTCCGCTGGCCTCACTCCCGAAGGCCAGGTCCGCGTCGTGCATCGGGCGCGTGGCCAGGCCCAGACTCTCAAGAGGCTTCTCCACAGGGCGGGGCTGGGGGCTGCTGGGGAGCGGCGGGGAAGGGCTTAAGGTTGTGGGGTGGGCTCGAAGCGAGTGCCCGGCCCGCGCTGTTGGAAGCGGAGGCCGGGAGGATGTGGCGGTAATTCCGTAACTGCCACGCACCAGGCAAACGCCAAGTCTGTGCTGCGCTTCAGCGAACTTCGTAACAGCAGCCCTTGCGGGCAGGGGTTCGCACTTCACGGAGCTTCCATCCACCACGCGCGTTTCGAGCAACGGGCCCGTTGCCTGGCGCACTAGAAGCCAATACTATGGCACCGGTGTTTGAGAAAAGGGAAGGCTTTATTATTTCAAGGTCGACGGCCAAGGAGACCGGAGGCACGGCTCAAATGTATGTTCCACACTGGGCTTAGGTCAAACTTGATGGGTTAGGGAGGACAGGTTGGCACACAGAAGTGCTGGCGGGCAGGTTTCGATAGGAGGGCTTTAAACTTGGCCATTTATGGTAAGGTGTGGAATGGCAGGTTTCAGCACCACATCTTCCAGGATGATGGACTCTTCCTTTCTGAAAGCGTCCCGCCCCTCAAGCTCCGGTCATGTCCGTCTTCTTGGCTCCGCAGGGAGGAACGTTGGTTCTGAGTTATGATTTTCCTCCTTTGTGCGTGCCCAAGTTACATGACTTTCAGTTTTGGCTCTGCTATACCTCCTGTTACCAACAGAATAGGGTCAGTTTGGGCCAGTTTTGTGGTTACACACACCTCAGTGTCACAGGATTCCCTCTGCCAAAGGGCTGTGAAGCTCAGGGCCAAGGTGATTGAAATTCAGCTCTACTATTGGATTGTCCTGGATTGTTTTAGCAGTTGAGAGGGATCAAGCTCTGTCCCAGCATCTTGATCCCAACAGAGAACTGATGCTCTGGGACCTTTACCTCAGACCTCAGTGCATCCTGGTTTTTGTTTTTCTCCCTCCTGCACAACTTTTTTTTATTTTGCAAATGTTCATACATTCATAAAGGTTGAAAGAATAATACAATGAATACCTGCATGCCCTTCACTTAGATTTAGCAGCTGACATCCTCTCTAGCATGTCCCTTCTGTGTCTCTGTGACTGTCTTTCTCCTTCAACAGCACAATGTTTATTGAGTGCTTGTGTGCTAAGCACTAAGTGCCGGGGCTACATCAGTGAACAAGCAACGTGCCTAACAAATCCGTCTTTCTGGATCATATGTGTGAATGGAGACAGTAGGCAATACGCAGAATAAATGCAGGAATTACAGAGTGTCCAGAGATGGGGAGGACTACAGAAGGTCTGGGCAGGTGCAGTGTGTCTGCTGGTTCACCTTGGCGACATGAGGCAGCAGCTGCCCCCTCTTCCTCTGGCTTCTTCAGTTCAAGACTAAAGACTCCAGCTTCTCCTATAGGGCAACAAAGGGGTTTCAGCCCATCCTGGGCTCCAGCTTGAGGTCACGGACCTCAACTTGTCCTTACGCTCATTTTACTTCATCTTCCCTTCCTGTCTGCCCTGTTCGAGCAACAGATGCAAAGACAACAGCCTTACAGAAACTATGTCCCACAATTGTGTGAGGCACAATCCCTGCAACAAATAGTATATGATATATATATACACACAATATATGTATCATTCATAAGTATACAGTTTACTTTTTTTTTGAGACCGAGTTTCACTGTTGTTGTCCAGGCTGGAGTGCAATGGTGTGATCTTGGCTCACCGCAACCTCTGCCTCCCGCGTTCAAGCCATTCTCCTACCTGAGCCTCCCAAGCAGCTGGGATTAGAGGCACCTGCCACCACGCCCAGCTAATTTTTGTATTTTTAGTAGAGACGGGGTTTCACCATGTTTTGACACCAATTGTTTTGGAAAAACTCAAACTTTTTTTTTCTGCTCTCACACTGCCACAAGTGGGATTCAAACCCACACCTACCTTAGGAGACCAGAAAATTGTTTCAGAAAAACTCTCAAACCCTGTTTTTCCTCTGCTCTCATACTAACACAATAACAATCAACACAGAAGGCTTAGGTAACCCCAAATATATGGGGATTTCTCCCCATCAGCAAGCAATCAATTCTACTGGGTGTCCTCCAATTTAGCTCCTTCACTGTCTGCCTGGAGACAGTGCCAGATCCCACAGAATGAGGGCTCAGTTCCCCACTCCCCAATCCCGGACATGAGTCACAGTCTGGGCCTCCAGAACTGATTGACTTCCTTCAAGTTGGGGTTTCCATGACTCCCTCTTTGGGTTTGATTTGCTAGAACAGTTCACAGAACTCAGGGAAAACCTTATGTTTGCCAGTTTATAATGAAGGATATTACAAAGGCTACAAATAAAGAGATGTGTAGGGCAAGGCATGGGGAGAGGGGTGCAGAGCCTCCGTGCCCTTGCCGGGCACACCACCCTCCAGGAACCTCCGTGTGTTCAGCTCTCTGGAAGCTTCTACAAACCCAGTCCTCTGGGTTTTCATGGAAGCTTCATGACATCAATATTTTTTCCACCAGGCTATGAGGTGGGACCCTCTCTGGAATGATGGTCTTATGACCCACAATCGGAAAGGTAGGGGAAGATTAGGGTCCTGCGGCCACGAGAAGGTCAGAGAGATTTTGTTTCCTGAGGTCTTCCCCTGTAATCCCAGCTAGTTGGGGGGCTGAGGCAGGAGAATCATTGCTATAACATCCAACGTTATAACAAACGACTGTAACAAGGGCTATGGCAGTTATGAGCCAGAAACCATACAAACGTGTGTGTGTGGGTGGAAAGAGAGAGACCAGAAGTGCTATGCTGGAAACTATTCTTTGAGGTTGTGTTCACATTTTTTTTTTAAACCAATTTAACATATTATGTTACTGTCTCACTTAAGATTGGCATTGACTGTGCAACAGAAACCTGATTACAGTGGCTGAACCAAATAATTTTTTTTTTAATGAGTCAGTTTTTCTGGGAATATGGAGCCCATCTAGGGCCACACAATGCCACCAGGCCTCTAGGCTTCCCCTTTATTTCCCATTGGCCATCTTAATAAGCAGCTTCCGTTCTTTTTTTTTTTTTTTTTTTTTGCCTCATGATTGCAAGAAGACTGCTTCATTACTAGAATCACATCCAGATTCCAGGCAGAATGAGAAAAAACAAAAGACAAAAGCAAATGTATGCTCAGTCAACCCCACGTGAAACAGCTGTTTCAGAACTGCACCCTGCGACTTTTACTTAATATCTTTTTGGCCTAAAGTGTGTTACCAGTTCTAGCTCCAAGGGTGACTAGGAAAATGTCGTTTTTCAGCTGGGTAAAGTGCCATGTTTAAGATTAAAAATTGCCGAAAATCAGGCTGGGCGCGGTGGCTCACCCCTGTAATCCCAGCACTTTGGGAGGCGGAGGCGGGCAGATCACGAGGTCAGACAGAGATCATCCTGGCAAATAAGGTGAAACCCCGTCTCTACTAAAAACACAAAAAATTAGCCGGGTGTGGTGGCAGGCGCCTGTAATCCCAGCCACTTGGGGGGCTGAGGCAGGAGAATGGTGTGAACCCGGGAGGCAGAGCTTGCAGTGAGCTGAGATCACGCCACTACACTCCAGCCTGGGTGACAGAGCAAGACTCCGTCTCAGGAAAAAAAAAAAAAAAAATTGCCAGAAATCCCTGATAGTGTTTTTTTGATGGAACCTGATAACTTACAGGTAATCAATTTGACACCAGATAAGTGATAAAGAGTAAACTTAAAAATCAATTTAAAATTCATGACCTCGGATCTGATTTCATTAACTATCATTCAGTTTATCCTCAACCTAATTAATATGTACAACTGAGGATATTTAGAAATACTGTGTTCAGAGAAGAGAAATAAACATTTCTTATGGGGAAATATACCATAAGGCTGATAATACATTGATTTTTAAAAATATATTTGACTGCTATATCCTTATTGCTTTATTTTTGTTGCTTTATTGAGGTATGAATTGCACCCACAATAAATTGCACGTACTTTAAGTATAGTTTGATGAAAATGTTGACATAAGTAGATACCTGTGAAACTATCCCCACGATTAAGATACTAAACATGTCCATCAACCCCAAACGCCCCCATCCCTGGGTCTGCTTTCTGTCACTCTAACTCAGTTTGTACTTTGTATGGTATTATATAATCATAGAAGATATATTGTTTTGGAGTATGGGTGGATCTAGCCTCTTTCACTTGGCAGAGGTATTTGAGATTTAGCCATTTGCTGTGTGTATCAATGGTGTGCTCCTTTACATTGTTGGGCAAGACTCCCAACAACTGTATTGTACGTACCACAATTTTTAATCCATTCACCAGATACTGGACATGGGTTGTTTCCATTTTTCTTTTTTTTTTTTTTTTTGAGACGGAGTCTCACTCTGTCGCCCAGGCTGGAGTGCAGTGGCGCAATCTCGGCTCACTGCAAGCTCCACCTCCCGGGTTCACGCCATTCTTCGGCCTCAGCCTCCCGAGTAGCTGGGACTACAGGCGCCCGCCACTGCGCCCGGCTAATTTTTTCTATTTTTAGTAGAGACGGGGTTTCACCATGGTCTCGATCTCCTGACCTTGTGATCCGCCCGCCTCGGCCTTCCAAAGTGCTGGGATTACAGGCGTGAGCCACCGCGCCCGGCCTGTTTCCATTTTTCAGCTACAGACATTTGTATGTAAGTTTTTGTGTGTATCTGTGCTCCCTTCTTTCTTTCTCTTTTTGTTCTTTCCTTCCTTCCTTTCTTTCTTTTCTTTCTTTCTTTCTTTCTTTTTCTTTCTTTTCTTTCTCTTTCTTTTTCTTTCTTCTTTCTTTTCTTTTTCTTTCTTTTCTTTCTTCTTTCTTCTTTCTCTTTCTTTTCTTTGCTTTCTTTCTTTCATTTTTCTCCTTCCTTCCTTTTCTTTCCTTCCTTTCTTTCTTTCGTTTTTTCTTTTTCTTTTCTTTTCTTTTCTTTCTTTCTTTCTTTCTTTCTTTTTCTTTCTTTCTTTCTTTCTTTCTTTCTCTCTCTCTCTCTCTCTTTCTTCTTCTTTCTTTCTTCTTTCTCTCTTCCCCTCTTTTTCCCTCCCTCCCTCTCTTTTTCTCTCTGTCTCTCTTCTTTCTTTTGAGACGGAATCTCACTCTGTTGTCCAGGCAGGAGTGCAGTGGCATGATCCAGGCTCATTGCAACCTCTGCCTCCTGGGTTCAAGCAATTTTCCTGCCTCAGCCAACTGAGTAGCTGGGATTACAGGCAGACACCACCACGCCTGGCTAATTTTTGTATTTTCAGTAGAGATGGGGTTTCACCATGTTGGCCAGGCTGGTCTCGAACTCCTGACCTCAAGTGATCCACCCACCTCTGCTCCACAAAGTGCTGGGATTACAGGTGTGAGCCACTGCACCCAGCCTGCTTTTGTTTCTTTTAAAGAAACTGTCAACCTCTTTCTAAAGTGTTTTTCACCACTTTACCCTCCTTGAGCAGTATGTGGCAGCTCCAGTTGCTCCATATACTTGCCTACCCTTGGTATTGTCAATCTGTACAAAATTAGCCATGCTGATGGGAGTACAGTGGCATCTCATGTGTTTTTCTTTTTTTGAGATGGGGTCTCACTCTGCTGCCCAGGCTGGAGTGCCTTGGCATGATCTCGGCTCACTGCAACCTCTGCCTCCCGGGTTCAAGTGATTCTCCTGCCTCAGCCTCCCAACTAGCTGGGATTACACGCGTGCACCACCACGCCCGGGTAATTTTTGTATTTTTAGTAGAGACAGGGTTTCGCTGTGTTGGCCAGGCTGGTGTCAAACTCCTGACTTCAAGTGATCCACTTGTCTTGGCCTCCCAAAGTTCTGGGATTACAGGTGTGAACCACCGTGCCCAGCCTCATTGTGGTTTTTATTTGCATTTCTTTAATGCTTAATGGTGCTGAGCATCTTTTCATGTGCTTATTTACTATGTACATATATTCTTTGGTGAAGCAGCTGTTCACATTTTTTGCCCATTTTAAATAGTCATTTGTCTTATTGAGTTATCAATTATTTATAGGATTGGATACAGGTCCTATGTTGCAAATATATGTTTTGCAAATATTTTCTCACAGTTGTGCCTTTTCATTTCATTTCATTTTGAAGAGCAAAAGTTTTAAATTTTGATAAATGAATTAACTGATTTCTTTCCTTGAAAGTTCATACTTTTTGTTTCTTATTTAGTAAATTCTTGGGTGGGCACAGTGACTCACGCCTGTCATCCCAGCACTTTGGGAGGCCAAGGCGGGAAGATCACTTGAGGTCAAGAGTTCAGGACCAGCCTGGCCAACATGGCAAAACCCCTTCTCTACTGAAAATACAAAAATTAGCTGGGCATGGTGGTGGATACCTGTAATCCCAGCTACTCGGGAGGCTGAGGCAAGGAGAATCACTTGAACCTGGGAGGTGGAGGTTGCTTGTTCACTGATGTAGCCTTGGCGCTTAGTGTTTAGCACAAAAGCACTCAATAAAACAAAAAGTAATAATAATGAAATTAATTAATTCTTGCCAAGTCAAGGTCTCTAAGGTTTTCCCCTAAGTTTTTTTTTTTTATTTTTTCTTTTTTTGAGACTGAGACTTGGTCTTTGCCCAGGCTGGAGTGCAATGGCGCAATCTCAGCCTACTGCAACCTCTGCCTCCTGGGTTCAAGCAATTCTCCCGCCTCAGCCTCCTGAGTAGCTGGGATTACAGGCACCTGCCACCATGCCTGGCCAAGTTTTAGTAGAGATGGGGTTTCAGCCTTCAACTCCTGACCTTGTGATCTACCTGCCTTGGCCTCCCAAAGTGCTGGGATTACAGGCGTGAACCAAGGCGCCCGACCTCCTATATTTTCTTCTTCTAAGTTTTGTACATTTAATTGATGATACATTTTGAGTCATTTTTTATATATTGTATGAGGTAAGGACTGGAGTTCACTTGTGTTACTCAGTGGTTTCAACATTTCTTGAAAATGATACCCTATCTTTTTTAGACAGGGTTTTGCTCTGTTGTTCAGGCTGGAGTGTAGTGGTGCCATCATGGCTCACTGTATCCTTAACCTCCTGGACTCAAGCAATCTTCCTGCCTCAGCCTCCAAAGTTGTTGGGACCACAGGAGCGTGCCACCGCACCAGGCTAATTTAAAAATTTTTTGTGTGGAGACAGGGTTTCCCTATGTTGCCAGGTCTGGTCTTGAACTCCTAGGCTCAAGTGGTCCCCCTACTTTGGCCTCCCAAAGTGCTGGGATTACAGGTATGAACTTACCCTGGCCTGACAACTCTAATCTTAAAATAATCTTTTGTATATTATTTTATATGTGCTATCTGTAATATGTTATAAGTATTTTTCTCAGTTTGTCATTTTTTTACTTTGTTGGTTTTGATCATGTAAAAAATTTCATGTGGTTAAATTTATGGATATTTTCTCTTTTGTTTCTTGATTTTGAGTAATAGTAAAATTTCCCTAACTTTCAGTTTCTAGAATAATTTATTCATATTTTCATCTAGTACTTGTTTGGTATTGTTTTTTTACAATTACCTCTCTGTTCCATTTGCAGTTTATTCTGCTACATGGTGTGGAGAATGGATCTAATTTTATCTTCCAAATGGCTAGCTGGTTATTCCAATACCCACATTATGACATTTATCCTTAACCCATCATTTGATTATATCAAATTTCCATAGGGGAGCAGTCTCCACAGTTGATGTTCTGACTTTTGGAAATGCTCAGAGCTTAGCCCATGGGCAGAGAAAACTCTGCACATAGAAGCAGCCACATGGGGTATCTGGGAGCCAGGGTGCTCCCCACCCCTCCCCACACACAACAGGGGCCAGTGGTGACTGTGATTCTTGCCCCTCAAGCCTCAGGTGGGTGGTCCAGCTGAAATTTGCCCAGTAAAGGCCCTATTTTCCCCCCAGGCCCTGGAGCTTTTTTTGGAGGGTTCTGTTGGACTCAACAACGACACACAAAGCAGCACAGCTCAGAGCACATGCTGGCCAGCCAGCAGAGAGCTGGTGAATGAATATGCCGAGGCAATGGAAGACATACCACTGGGTGGGACGGTCATCACCCAGACATCTGCTGACAGTGCCGACTGTATCGTTACCTGCAGACTCAGATGACCCACCCACAATTTTGAGACTGATGATGTTACATAAACACATACACCCCAAGGGGGGTGTGAAAAGGTTTATTTTATACATAATTGAGGGCAGCAGCGAGGCTTCCCAGGCGGGTCCAAAATGGCTTGAGACAGCAAGGAAAGGAGGCTGGACTGGGTTTTTATTGTGGTTGGGGTGGGACTGATGGGAGAGTCCCCACATGCAGGCAGGGGCTTGTGTGGTTCGAATCTTCTGGTGTTACCAAAGAAGGGAGCACCCAGGCTTTCTTACCGGTTTCCCCAGGTGTGAGCACAAAGGAAAGAGGGAGGGTGAGACTTAAACACTGACAATAATCAAACATCAAAAAATGGCCCCAGACTGCTCATTACGTCATGTGAGAAGTATGTTTTGCAGTGAGCAGGTCTATGCATATCTACCGCCAAAGGCAGAGGGAGATGAGAGGTCAAAGAGGCTGATAAGTCATTTCCCAGAAGAAAACATTCAACAGGGACTTAGAAACAGAAGTCATGTCTTAGGCAGCTTTGAGATGATGGATCCCTGCACCTGCCCTCCAAAAAGTAGCAAGCTTTTTTGGTAAAACATGTGCAGCTGGTTATGTCTCAGACTTTCCTGCAAAACTTGTGACCAATGGGGAGGTTAGATAAGCATCCTTATGAGGGGTTATCCATGCCACAGGCATTGTGTAAAGACCTTGCCACAGGACCCTTTCGTATGCCGGAGTCAACCACTGCTCATCACAGTGGCTTTGCCTCAAGAGGGCATCATTCTTGCCAGGCAACAGGCTATTTTCCTACACTCCACCCTGTGAAACCCACCCTTATTATCTCAAGTGCCCTCCTCTTCTGGAGGAGTCCCTGGGCACAGAGGGAGAGTGCTTGATATATAGCTTTAGCAGCAGAGCATTGCTGACGGAAAACAGACTGGGCCCAGCAGGATTCCAAATGAGGGAGATTTGCCAGCTTTGTTGAACCATCTCTAGGCTTTGCAATAGGGATATAGTCGGGCTCTGTCCCCACCCAAATCTCATTTTGAATGGCTGTGTCCCCACCCAAATCTCATGGGAATTGTAGCTCCCACAATTCCCACATCATGGGAGCAGCCTGGTGGGGGTTGAATTATGGGGGTGCATCTTTCCTATGCTGGTCTTGTGATAGTGAATGAGTCTGGTGAGATCTGATGGTTTTAAAAATGGGAGTTTGCCTGCTCAAGCTCTTTTCGCCTGCTGCCATCCATGTAAGATGTGACTTGCTCCTCCTTGCCTTCTGCCACAATTGTGAGACCTCCCCAGCCATGTGGAACTGTATGTCCATTAAACCTCTTTCTTTTATAAATTGCCCAGTCTTGGATATGTCTTTATCAGCAGTGTGAGAACAGACTAATACAAATACCATTTTTGTTTTCTCAGAAGAAGTAAAATGAGAGATATGTAACAATAATTTGAATAGTAGAAATATAATGTGCAGAAGGATTACAATCAAAAAGAGAATCTGGGCTGTGTGTGTTGGCTCACACTTGTAATCCTAGCATTTTGAGAGGCCAAGGCAGGAGGAATGCTTGAGGAGTTTGAGACCAGCTTTGGCAACATAATAAGACTCTGTACACACACACGCACAAATTAGCTGGGCATGGTGGCACACACCTGTGGTCCCACCTACTGTGGGGGCTGAGATGGGAGGATCACTTGAGTCTGGGAGGTCAAGGCTGTAGCGAGCTGTGATTGTGCCATTGCACCCCAGCCTGAACAACAGAGTAACATCCTGTTTCTTTTTTAAAAAAGAGAGACAGAGACAGAATTTGTATGCCAAAATGGAAAAAAAAGAACTTATTCCATTAATGAGCCAACTAAAAACATCATGAAGAAACTTAAAATAGGCATGTGCCACCACACCCAGCTAATTTTTGTATTTTTAGTAGAGATGGGGTTTCACCATGTTGGCCAGGCTGGTCTCAAACTCCTGACCTCAGGTGATTCGCCCACCTCGGCCTCCCAAAGTGCTAGGATTATAGGCATGAGCCACCATGACCGGCCTAGACACCATTTCTTATTTGACAATGGTTCCTATATAATTGTAATGTACCAAATTAGCCTAATATGTCTCTTTTGGCCTTTCAGGAGCCCTAATTTTTTTTTTTTTTTTGGAGATGGAGTCTTGCTCTGTCACCCAGGCTGGAGTGCAGTGGCATGATCTCGGCTCACTGCAACCTCCACCTCCCGGGTTCAAGCAATTCTCCTACCTCAGCCTCCTGAGTAGCTGGAACTACAGGTGCATGCTGCCATGCCCAGCTAATTTTTTGTATTTTAGTATAGATGGTGTTTCACCGAGTTGCCTAGGCTAGACTTGAACTCATGAGCTCAGGCAATCCGCCCGCCTTGGCCTCCCAAAGTTCTAGGATTATAGGCGTGAGCCATTGCACCCGGCCTAATTGTTTTTTCAAAATTAATTAATTTTTTTTTTTGTAGAGACAGGGTCTTGCTATATTTTAACTCAGGTTGATCTTGAACTCTGTGAGTGATCCTCCCACCTTGGCCTCCCAAAGTGCTGGGATTGCAGGCATGAGCCACTGTGCCTGGACACAATGTGGCAAGTTGTGTTTTTGTTTTTTTTTGAGACATGGTCTTGCTCTGTCACCCAGGCCACAGTGCAGTGGTACGATCTCAGCTCACTGCAACCACTGTCTCCCAGGCTCAGGCGTGAGCCACCACGCTCGGCTGATTTTTTTGTTTGTTTGTTTTGTTTTGTAAACTCGAGGGATTATTATTTCTTGATTGGAGAAAGAGGAGACAGCATTTGGTGAGGAAGTCATACAGGGGGATGTCAGGGAGGGTGATCGATTGATGGATGGGAACTGGAACTGAGAACCCAGCAGGGACTTCTAGGAAGACTCAGCAGTCAGTGGTGAAGGTGGTTGAGAGCTGGATGCACCAGGAGCCGCAGGCCTTGCACAGGATGTGTCCATCCAGTGGGTAGCAGCCCTGACACTCGCCCTCAGAGGAGAGCAGTGGCCCACACTCTTCGCACTTGTAACAGCCAATGTGAAAACTTCGATCCAGAGCAACAATTCTCAGTCTCCTCCTGATGTGGCGCAGGCATTATGGCCCCACCGCACACTCAGCATCTTGGGGCAAACTTCCTGTGAAAGTCCTCAATGCAGTGGATCTGGCTGGTAGTGTCCACCGTGAAGGGGGTGCCGTCGAGGCCGCGGTGACACACCAGGTAGGTGAAGCAGCTGGGGTGGTAGTCCTTCCCCATAGCCCGCAGGATCCGGTCCAGGGTGGGCTGGGAGCACGTGGCACATTTCTCCCGGGTGGCCACGTAGCAGCCCTGGCAACACGCCCTCTCTGCATGGCGTAGAAATGCTGGCCCCGAAGCTGGGCCTGGCATGTAGAACACACAAAACAGCCCACATGAAAGACGCAATCGAGGGCCACAACCCCAGCCCCATCCCCGACCACATCTCCGCAGCCACCACACCGGCCAAAGTACTCCCCGCTGGGCGGGTGGTTCATGTCGTGCACCTGCTTCTTCGACAGCCTGACAAGCTCATCCTCCCGAGGTGGCTCAGGGGCACCTGGGGCCGTGCTCGCGTCCTCTTCCTCCTCCTGCGGGGCCAGAGACCCCCGCAGCTTCCTCTTTGGCCCCTGGCCCTGGCGCTCTCTGGCTCCTATAGCCAGGCCCCCAGACTTCACCGTGGCCTGGGACAGAAAGTGGGGGCCCGGGAGGGGCCCAGAGGCCTGAGAGGTTCCCCGCCTGGGTGGGCCGCAGCCCCTCACTGACTGTGCCACCTTCGCTTGCACGGGGAAGGCCGGCCAGGGGGTGCTGGCGGCAGCATAAGAGGCTGCAGTGGGGCCCCCATAGGGAGACGCGGGGAGCGCGAGGCTGGGTTCGGCTTCAGAGAGCCCGGGCGGGAGGCAGGAGGTGGCGGGGGCTCCTCTGCCTGTTGGTCTGGTCGCAGGGGCGCATGACCCCGACCCCCCTTCAGCTCGGCCAGCGTGCTGCTCAGCAAGTCTATCTCAGCGTCCAGGCTTCCAGGGCGAAGGCCCCTCCTGTCTGCAGGGAGCCCCTGATTGCGCTGGAGTACTCCATGGGACCCCACCCAGGCCGGCCCTGATTCTCAGGTCCCCCTGGGGCCTGGTAACACTGCTCAGATGGGAGAGGACAAAAAATGACCCTGGAGTGGGGCTGGAGTGCTGCTCCGTGGCCCGGTGGTGGCCCGGGATGCCTCGGGGGATCGCTGTCCCCTGAGGGGGTCTGGTGGGCTCTGGCTGCTTCAGGGGCAGTCAGGTGAGCCCTGAGGGCCTGGAACAGGCAACTCCAGACAGCGGTCTTGAAGCGGGGGGCCTCTGGCCTTCAACCCCTCTTCGTCCTGTACCTCGTTTGGGACTCCAGAAAAGAAAACTTTTTCTGCCATGCCCGGCTAATTTTTGTATATTTTGCAGAGATGGGGTTTCACCATGTTGTCCAGGCTGGTGTTGAACTCCTGGACTCAAGTGTTCTGCCCACTTGGCCTCTCAAAGTGTTGGGATTACAGGCATGAGCCACCGTGCCTGGCCACCAGGGGCCCTAATTGTTATGTCCAAGTTAGTTCAGGTCAAAAAAACTTAATTTTAGAATTTGAAATGTGATTTTGGGAAGTATGTCGAATATCAAAGATTTAAAACACCTGATATTAAAATAAGAAAGGTTTAAAACAGTCGATCAACATAGGATGACAGTTCACTGTAAGATAATAGTCATTCATTTAGCCGAAGTGGTAATTCAAAGATTTCAGAAAGCAAAAACCTCCACACTTTGATAGACAGAAGAAAAACTAAATAAATTAAAATAATAAAAAATGATAGAGAGGAGACTCAGTTTTTGGAACAATTAAAAGACCTAAGAAAGACAGCATGAGACAGAATCTGTCTCTCCTCTCCTGGTTTTTTTTGCAGTTTACTCAAAAGGTGAATAAAAATATTTTTCTGTTATTAATGTTATTATACATGAAATTATTATTCAAAAGAGAAAACCAAATTTTATTTTTGTATTAATCCATTATCAATACTAAAGCTAATTTTAATACAACCTTATAAACTAATCCATCCAGTCTCAGCTTTTGACTACACAAGATTTCCATAGCCCATTTATGACTTCTTACACATTTTTCTACTTTTTTCCCTTTCCCAACTTTCAGATCCATTTAGACTTATATGATTTTTCTTTCATTTTGAAACAACCTGTAAATAACCTCTAAACTAGAGAAAATTATTTTTTCTTTAGCAAAAACCACTAAGTGTGGTGGCTTATGCCTGTAATCCCAGTACTTTGGGAGGCCGAGGCAGGAGGACTGCTTGAGCCTAGGAGTTCAAGATGACACTGGGCAAGATGGTGAAACCTTGTCTCTATAAAAATAAAAAACTTAAAAATAAAGGTAGTTGGGTGTGGTGGCACACCCCTATAGTCCTAGCTGCATGGCAGGCTAAGGTAGGAGGATAACTTGAGCCCAGGAGTTTGAAGCTGCAGTGAGCTATGATCACACCATTGTACTCCAGCCTGGGTGACAGAGCCAGACTTTGTCTCCAGAAAACAAAACAAAAGGAAAAAAAAAAACAAAAACGGTCAGGTGTGGTGGTTCATGCCTATAATCCCAGCACTTTGGGAGGCTGAGGCAGGCAGATCATGAGGTCAGGAGATCGAGACCATCCTGGCTAACACGATGAAACCCTGTCTCTACTTTAAAAAAAATACAATACAAAAAAAAAAAAAAAAATTAGCCGGGTGTGGTGGTGCGCACTTGTAGTCCCAGCTACTTGGGAGGCTGATGCCGGAGAATGGCGTGAACCCAGGAGGTGGAGCTTGTAGTGAGCCAAGATGGCGCCACTGCACTCCAGCCTGGGCGACAGAGCAAGACTCCATCTCAAACTAAAATAAAAAAAAGGAAAAGAAAAAAACAAACCACATCCTGATGTTTTATTATTATTATTTTTTGAGACAGAGTCTCGCTCTGTCACCCAGGCTGGAGTGTAGTGGCATGACCTCTGCTCACTGCAACCTCCGCCACCTGGGTTCAAGCAATTCTCCTGCCTCAGCCTCCCGAGTAGCTGGGACTACAGGCGTGTGCCACCATGCCCAGATAATTTTTGTAGTTTTAGTAGAGACAGGGTTTTGCCCTGTTAGCCAGGCTGGTCTCAAACTCCTGACCTCAAGTATCTACCTGCCTCAGCCTCCCAAACTGCTGGGCAAAATGTGACTTTATGATTTAAAATTACTGAAAATAATTTTGAAACTATGACACAAGTACCGTCCTAATGTCTTCCCCAGACATTCTGGGGAATACCCACATGGCACCCAGGGATGAGTATGAAGAGCATGGCCCATCTGGGTCCTGAATTTACATGTAGAGAGCTCATCACAGAGGACAGATGTGAAGATATGTCTGCATCTCCCACCATAGTCAGGAGGCACGGCTGGGGCAGAGAGAACTCCACACGTCACCAGGCCTCACCATGGCCATTTGTTTAGAGCCCATAATTGAATGGGTCTAAGACCTAAGCTCACAGACAAGTTAAACAAGTATCAAAAATATCACAGAATCAACAGTTTTATGACCTTAAAACATCTAGCAGAGATATTCTAAACCCGTCTGACTAGTAGACCAAGGAGAACGTGTCTAAATTAATACTGACAATCCTGAAGACATTCCTATCTCACCAACAATTTAAAATCTAGTTTTATTTACCAAAGATTACTAGTCACATGAACTTGAAAAATATTTGGGCTTATTAACTTACGAGCACTTATTTATAAATCAATTTGGTACCATGTAGACACCACACACACACACAAATAAAATACAAAGATTTTATAGCTTTGATTTTAAAATTTTAGCAACGAAATAGGTAAAACTCACTAGTTTAAAACAACAGTTGGATTCAAACTTTGCAAATGAAACAAGTTAATCTGTCCCACATGACCAAACACCTTACTGAGTTTTAGAGGAAAAAAGGATAACAAATTTACATCTCAAAGCACAGAGCAAGAATTTAAACTTTTTTTTCTTTTTTTTTTGAGATGGAGTCTTGCTCTGTTGCCCAGGCTGGAGTGCAATAGCGGGATCTTGGCTCACTGCAAACTCCACCTCCCGGGTTCAAGCAATTCTCCTGCCTCAACTTCCTGAGTAGCTGGGATTACAGGCGCCTACCACCAGGCCCAGCTAATTTTTGTATTTTTAGTAGAGATGGGGTTTCACCATGCTGGCCAGGCTGGTCTCGAACTCCTGACCTCAGGCGATCTGCCTGCCTTGTCCTCCCAAAGTGCTGGGATTACAGGGGTGAGCCACCGTGCCAAGCCAGGGAGGAACTTTTTGTTGTTGTTGGAGCTGTCTCGGTCTGTCGCCTAGGCTGGAGTGCGGTGGCACGGTCTCAGCCCTCTGCAACCTCTGCCTCCTGGGTTCAAGCGATTCTCCTGCCTCAGACTCCCAAGTAGCTGGGGTTACAGGTACCTGCCACCACGCTTGGCTAATTTTTGTATTTTTAGTAGAGACGGGGTTTCACTATATTGGCCAAGCTGGTCTTGAACTCCTGACCTTGTGATCTGCCCGCCTTAGCCTCTCAAAGTGCTGGGATTACAGGCATGAGCCACTGCGCCCGGCCTAAGGTTTTTAAAAAGGAGTCTGAGTGTGTTATAGGACAGTAAAAAATGGATGCCATGGATGCCAAGGTAACACAAAATCACAGGAATTCACCATAGCATTTTATAAGGAAACTTTTTTTTTTTTTTTGAGATGGAGTCTCGCTCTGTCGTCCAGGCTGGAGTGCGGTGGCATGATCTCAGCTCACTGTAAGCTCTGCCTCCAGAGTTCACACCATTCTCCTGCCTCAGCCTCCCAAGTAGCTGGTATTACAGGAACCCGCCACAACACCTGGCTAATTTTTTGTATTTTTAGTAGAGATGGGGTTTCACCATGTTAGCCAGGATGGTCTCGATCTCCTGACCTCATGATCCGCCGCCTTGGCCTCCCAAAGTGCTGGGATTACAGGCGTGAGCCACCGCGCCCGGCAGGAAACTAATTTCATTTACATAGGTAGCTTCAAATTGAGCCTCCACTTTCCCACTGGACCACCGAGCTCCGGGTGGAGCCCGTTAACTAACAGGGCCAAGAAGGCACTTGCAGTTTCCGGGCTCTAATACATACATATATGTGTGAAAAGCAGGTGCAACATTTAGATCTCCCAAAATCAAGGACTCCATTTTACACAGAATCCTGGGTCCCCAAAAAGGGGGCAATGCTACGGGACGGGACACAGTGATGCTTCCACAGTGTACCTCCCAGCAAAGACATTCCCCTGAGGCTGAGTGGCCTGTCACCAACCAGCCCATCCCCCACAGGAGGCTATGTCTCAGTGGTGAGTGTTTCTATGGCTTCCAGGTGTCCAAACCATGTTTTTCTTATCTAAACACATAAAGAAATGAGTAGCTCCCTACAGTAATAACCACTCATGGCAAACACCGTCAGCCATCTCCAAAACTGCAGCCCTCACCAGGGACTTGTCAACCACTATATACCCAAAGGTCCTGTTCTCTCAGAGTACAAAATAATTCCTGGTATCCACCAAGCTAGAGGGATCAGGAACTCAATGCCAAAGACAGCAGAACTTTACACTTGAGAGAAACCTTCTTACGACTCGGGACTCTACAAGGAACGCAGGAGACTCCCAAAAGGGGATGTGTGTTGCCTTTTTGTGTTCTTCAGGGGGTCTCAGGGCTGCTAAGTCTCTAGATTTCTGCATGTGGTATCAAAGATGGCAACGGGAAGGAGAAGCAGAAGTGGAAGGAAATGGAAGAACAAGTCTTGGAGGAGCCAAATTAAGGAGCTCTTAAGCTTTCCAGAAGGCAAAAGTCATGCCATCAAACCAGAGGGGCCAAACATAATATAAAAAGGGTGGAGGGTGTTTTAGTTGACTGAAAATAACATCCCCAGAAACAGGGTCCAAAATAGAAAAAAGCTGAAAGGTCTTCCCCCCACTGCAAAATATATAAAAGCCTGAATATCTGCTTTTAATTAAGCTGACTTCTGACCACAGAGCGCCTTTAAAAAGATCTTTTCTCTAATGACAATTCCTCCTCAAGCCATTTTACATCAACTGCTGCTGCTAGCTGGGTTCTTCACCAAACGGGCAGCCCACAGAAGTGGCCATCACACTGCAGTGTTGCTCGCCACCCTTCCTTACCACAGTGTGACAGATGGCTCTCCATTCCCAATCCCTCTAAAGCCGCCAGCATTTTCAGGGAGTCCCCACACTCACGAGGTTGTCCACAAGTGTCTAAAAAGTGAGCCGCAGCAACTGCACATGGAAGTGACTGCCACTCTGGGGCTTCCCCACCCATTCCTTGGTCTCTCAGCTGGGACTGCCAAATGTTCCATGGTGAGCAGGTCTATGCAAACCTACCCTCAAAAGCTGAGAGGCTGAAGAAAGAGGCTGACAAATCCAGTTCCTCAGAAAATAAACATTTAATAGGAATTTGCAAACAGAAGCGATGTTTCGATGCCCACACCTGTCCTCCAGAAAGTACTGTTTATAGAGCAAGCTTTTTTGGTAAAACATGTGCAGCTGTCACATCTCAGACTTTCTTGCAAAATTCGTGACTGCTGGAGAAGTTAGGTAAGCATCTTTATGAGGGTTTATCTATGCTACAGGCATTGTGTAAAGACTTTGGTGCAGGAGTCAACCACTGGCCATTATGGCAATTTTGCTTGAAGACACCACCACTCTTGCCATGCCACAAGCTATTTTCCTACAGTGTAAAGCGTATACCTCTGGATACAATGTGTAATCCTTCCTCCTCGCTTACATTATTTTTCTGTCCATCTAAACTTGCTAAGGATTCTTTCATGTTCCTGCCAAAAATGGTCCTAGAGAGAGCTTAATAGACACTAAGGCTTGGCTTTGGAAGTGGTGTTAAGGGAATGTGTTAAGTGGTGGAATTATGTGTGACACATATTTTCCCTTTTTCAAATTTGCATTTTCTAGAATTACGCTGATTTTAAAATTAAAAAAATGTAAAGTGGGCAAGCCACATTTGAAATCTGGACCGCAACCCTCTCAGGGGCTTCTGTGCAGCATGTGATGTCACCACCTCAGTGCTGCAGTCCTTGGTGGGTCCCAGCCCCCGCATGAGGTGAGAAGGGATCACAGGACAGTTGAGGCAGCACCAGAGTGGGCAGGGGTGGGGGTGGGCACCAGTTCTCACTTGTTCACTGATGTAAGCCTGTTACAGGACCAACAGGTTTGTATGCTGGCTGCACAGCAAAGGCCAATGACACTGAGACAGCAGGCATGCAGCCGAGAGTTTAATTATTGCAGGACACCAAGTGAGGAGATGGGAGGAGACCCTCAAATCCATCTGGGGTTTTTAAGGGGATCATGGAGGGTGAGGGGCTGGAAAACTGAGGTAGTTGATTGGCCAGGGCAGAGGGGATGACATCACCAGGATGTGGAAACTGCATTCTTTGGTGTGGGCAGCTCCTCGTGGGGTTCTTCAGACCAGCTCAGTCAGTAGTCGTATGGTATGCAGGACCTGAAGGCGTATCTCAAAGGGAAAACTTAGCATTTCATAATGTTCAAGTTGTCATCTATAGAGCAGTTGAAGGGAACTGTAATCTAGGGTCTACGTGACTCCAGGACACAGGCACACACGCCTACGTGGAAGCATGTCAGGGGGAAGGCTGACCGAATGATGAACGCTGAATGTGCTGCAAGCTTCGTTTACTTTCATTTCTCCCCTCTTCTTCCCTGACTAATTTGATAAAGTTTATAGGGGCAGTTTCAAGCCCTTTTACAAATGCCATTCGGAGTCCTATGCAGCAGCTAGGGCAATGAGTGCGTGGCAGGGGCCACACGGCCGCTGCGGGGAGAAAGGGATGGACCTTTTACGGTGGAAGTTTGGGGGTCAGTACTGAGACTGCCAATCCCAGCAGACAGAATGAGTGTCTTTTCCCTCCACCCTCCCCTCCTTCTTTTTCGTTTCTCTTCTCCTCTCTCCAATTTCTGTTTTGCGATCGTGAAGGCCCAGTTTTTGGTAAGTAATTATATTAAGTACTTATCTAAATAATTAAGGGTCTTTTGAGAAACATAATTAGTCTACTAAGATTTTTTTTTTTTTTTTAAAGAAAAGCCAGGCGCTCACGCCTGTAATCCCAGCACTTTGGGAGGCCGAGGTGGGTGGATCACGAGGTCAGATCAAGACCATCCTGTGAAACCCCGTCTCTACTAAAAATGCAAAAAAGTAGCCAGGTGTGGTGGCGGGTGCCTGTAATCTCAGCTTCTCAGGATGTTGAGGCAGGAGAATGGCGTGAACCCGGGAGGCAGAGCTGGCAGTGAGCTGAGGTTGTGCCATTGCACTCCAGCCTGGGCGACAGAGCGAGACTCCGTCTCAAAAAAAAAAAAAAAGAGGGCTTTTCTATCATCTTCCACATGCCCCAGCCCCCACTGAACAGAGGCATCTCAGGCTCATGGAGTCAGTAAATATATGACCTAGGCTTTCTCCATCATATGGACTTGGTATTTGTTCCCTGAGAAACACATTTCTGACGACATCACCAAGGTCAAAAGAAAGAAACAAATTGTGGTTGACAGAAATTTCAAGACTCTTTCTCTTTGGAAACATGACGACGTAATGAAATTAAAATTCCCTAGGCTTCGGATGAAGTACCCCAAACATGTCAAGTCTGGCTAGACACTGGGCAGCACCAGGGACCAGGAGGAGCTGGTCATTTACTTGTCCTAGGCAGCTCCTTCCTGTGGCCCCTGCACAGTCCACTGCATCCATCAGTGTGGCCTACCCTGTGCCTCAGCTGCAGTGGGTCTCCTGGTGGCCGTCTCCCAATGGCACTGAGGTGAGGGGAAGGGCGGACTTGCAGGAACAAATGGAGTCAGAAGGGAGCAAACACAGTCAGGAATGCACAGTCTTCTCCACACAGCAGTGATCATATTCAGATGCAAGTCAGGTCATCCTCCTCTGCTCAGAACCCTCCAGGATCTCCCCTTCTCACACAGAGTAAAAACCAAAGTCTTGGTCATGGCCACAGACCTTCATGACACACCCCAGCACCTCTCTCCCTTGCTCACTCTACTCCTAGCCATGCTGCCCTGCAACACTCCAGGTCTCAGGCCTGGTGTCCCATTAACTATTCTCTCTGCCTGATACATGAATATCCTTTTATTTTCATTTGACACTCTCTCATGTGCTTTGAGTCACTGCTCAAATGTCATCTCAGTGAGACCTTCCCCATTTAAAACCAAACCCCTCCTGGACCCCACATGGGCCCCGATCCCTCCCTGTTTTCATGCTGCTTTCCAGCAATCATCACCCCACACAGACCTTGATCCCCCCAGCTTTTGTGCTGTTTTCCAGCAATCGTCACCATTAGGTCATTTTCTCTTCCCACTGGCACGTAAACTCCACAAGGCAGGCACTTATGCCTCTCTTGTTCCTGTTGTATCCTTGCACCTTGGCACCTCATGCCTGGCAGATAGAAAGCATTCAACAAGTATTTACTGGAACAACGAGTAACCAAATCCAGGCTAGAAAGGGAGAAACATGAGGCCAGAGAGGAGCCTGACTGAGGAGGCACATGTCAGCAGATTGGCCAGCACGATGTTGGAAGACTGGGCAGGCGAGTTAGGAAGGTACCAGGGCCATGCTGCTGTTGAAATTCTGGGTGTTGCCTTGGGAAAAAGCGCTGTGGTGGAGGTGACGGTGAGACCTGGGGTCGGGGGAGTCTGCGCAGTCAACACCCTGTGGGTGGGGTGCCGGCCTCTGAGGTGAGCACAGGCTGAAGCCTGTGGGACTGACCTTCCCATCCTCAAGTCGACACTTCCACATTCTCTTCGCTCTTCAAATTTCTCATAACCTCTCCCTCCTCATTTGCAATTGAGGTCTTTGCCTCCTGCATCCTTGAAACCATCCCACCAAACCTACAAACTGAGTACATTTGCCCCATTTTTCTCCTTTCTTCTTGGAAATGCAGGAGGTATCTGTCTATCCAAGACTAACCCCTTGACCTCTAGGGGATCTTTGTTCCTTCTCCCTCCCTCTCAGCTCCACCAGTCCCCACCTTTGCTCTCCTTGACTGTGCAGACCTTCCAGTCACCCTCACACATCACCCAGCCTCTGTCCCTCTGTCACCCTCACACGCCACCCAGCCTCTGTCCCTCTGTCACCCTCACACGCCACCCAGCCTCTGAGTGTCCGGTCACACCGAGATGGGCCCTGGCAGGACCACCAGCCCTTTCCCTGAAGCCAAGTCTCAACTTCCTCCTCCTCAATGTCTGATGCGATGGCTCCTCCCCTGGTCAGCTCTGTCTCTTCCCTTCAGGTGCCTTTGTTGCTTCTCTTATCCACCAGAATGTTCAAAGCTGGGGAATCTTAGGCCTCTGTCCCAAGTCCTCTAATGATCTTCCCAGGGTAACTCATGCTTTCCCAAAGATGCGTATCTCATTTAAGAAAAATGCTAATGACTCCGAAATTCCCATTTCCATCCCAAATCTGTCTTTAAGCTCCAGATTAATAGTGAACTGAGATCTTAACTTCTCTTGTATCTCACAGACACCTCAAGCTTAACATGCCCAAAAGAGAAATCTTGATTTCCACCCACTGGCACTGGCCTACGGGCCGAGACCCACACCCTGCCGTCCTAGAGGTGACTGAACTGGGTTACCCGCCTGAGGCTGGCCCTGTCAGACTTTCTCCTACAGACCATGAACTGAGGACACAGCAACTTTCACAGACTGGTTCTGTCCCCAGACGTGTGAGGACAAGTGAACTGGAGAGCAGACTGTGGAGCAGCCATTTCCTTGCCACATCTAAGGAGAAAAGAATGAAACGGACGCGGAGGAACAAAGAGCTTGCAGCTGTTCCCGACGGCACTCACCTCCTGTTCTCCATGACAAGAAATGCCCTTCTAACTTATGCTAGTCCAGTGGATGTCGTTATTTGCTACCAAACAAACATGAAGACACCTGCTACTTACATGTGTCTTTTTCTGGGTGAACTGAGATAATGTGGACTAGTTCCCAAATGCTTCCTGTCTGGATTTTGACTGGGGATGCGCTGAATTCGCAGAGCGATTTAGGAAAATTTTCATCTTCATGATATTGAGTCTATGGACAAACAAGATAGACTTCAGTATTTATTCATGTCGCTCTTTTCCTAATGTCCCTCTGAAGAATTTCATAGTTTAAAAAGGGTGCTCACTTACCTATAAAAAAAGAAAATCAACAAGGATGAGGGAAACCACTAATACGGAACACAACAGAAACAAATACAATGAATTGTTACATGTGAATAACATAGCCACCATGAAAGAGAAAAAAAACAAGACAAAACAAAGACTCAAGTATCTTTTTTATGAAGTATTTTGACTACAGAGCCTCAAATCAAAGTGCAAAAGCCAGTAGACAGATATTGGACCATCAACAGGTTGTTGTTACACAGTGGTTATGGATTAACAATTCAAAAATTACTTTTAGTATATTCCAAGATTGAGAAAATCTATTGTGTAAAAATACTGAGGATAATAGGGATCATATTTTTGTTTTAAAAATTTTTGTTTTAAAAAAATTATGGAGAGAAGGAAGGCTAGACTGAACTCTGTGGTACTGGACTGGAATTCGTGGCACTGGAATAAATTCATGGTTTTAAATACATTGATGGCTATTTAAATTGATACAAGATGGTGTGTTTACATAGAAACACATACATTTATTTCCTAGCTCTCTGCTGAGAAGCCCCAGAAGCAGTGACACCCTCATGACAGTGAGCACACCTAACACCCAGATCTTGTTTTCTAAAAACTATTCTCCACAGAAAGGTACCAGGCTCCTGGGAAAAGAACTTATTCCACAGCTGGGCCTTTACCGTGGGGAAGCCTGGCAGTCACAGTCTTAACCAAGTGATAAAGATCACATCACGTGAAAGGGACCACAAAACCGATCATGGACCTCCTGATACGACACACCAAGGACACATCTCTTCCGTGGTTCCCGGCAAAATCATCAGGAAACACTGGACAAACCCAAGGTAAAGAACAGTCTACAGAGTAACTGCCTCATGCTCTTCAAAGATGGCAACATTTATCTTTGAAAGACAAGAGACTGGCCGGGTGCGGTAGCTCATGCCTGTAGTCCCAGCAATTTGGGAGGCTGAGGCGGGAGGATCACTTAAGGTCAAGAGTTTGAGACCAGCCTGGACAACTTGGTGAAACCTCGTCTCTACTGAAAATCACAAAAAAAAAAAAAAAAAAAAAAATTAAGCGGGTGCCGGGTGCCCTGTAGTCCCAGCTACTTGAGGAGCCTGAGGCATGAGAATGCTTGAACCCGAGGGTGAGGTTTGCAGTGAAGCCAGATCATGCCACTGCACTCCACGCTGGGCAACCAGAGCAAGACTCTGTTTGAAAAAAGAAAAAAGAGACTAAAGAAGTACTCCAGATGGAAGGACCATGACAACTACGTATGGGTGATCTCAGACTGGGTCCTCAGCCAGGAATTTTTTTTTTTTTTTTTTTTTTAAATTTCTATAGGCCTAGGTGCCGGTGGCTCACGCCTATAATCCCAGCATTTTGGGAGACCAAGGCGGTGGACACCTGAGGTCGAGTTTGAGACCAGCCCTGACAACATGAGAAACTCGGTCTCTACTAATAAAAATACAATTAGCTGTGACGTGGTGGCACAATGCCTGTAATCCCAGCCACTTGGGAGGCTGAGACAGGAGAATCACTTGAACTCAGGAGGCGCAGGTTGTAGTGAGCCAAGATTGCACCACTGCACTCCCAGCCTGGGCAACCAGAGGAAAACCTCGGTTTCAAAAATAAATAAATAAATAAATAAATAAATTCTACAAAGGGCATTACCAGGACAACTGGCAAAACATTAACAAGGTTTATAGATTAGAGCATGTCACCAACACTCACTTTCTGGCCAGGCACAATGGCTCACGTCTATAATCCTAGCACTTTGGCTGGATCACTTGAGGCCAGGAGTTCAAGACGAGCCTGGGCAACATAGGAAGACCCCATCTTTACAAAAAACAAAAGTAACCTGCCGGGGGTGATGGCACACACCTGTGGTCCCAGCTATTTGGGAGGCTGAGGTGACAGGACTGCTTGAACCCAGGAGGTTGAGGCTACAGTGTGCTGTCATTACACCACTGCACTCCAACCTGGGTGAGCAAGACCTGGCCTCAAAAAAACCCAATTCATTTTCCAACAAATATTATGGTCGTGAAAAAGAACATCCTTGTTCTTAGGAAGCACATGCTGATGTATTTAGGGGTAAGGTGCATCACATCTGCAACTTAGTCTCAGGACAAACGTGTATCTACAGTGAGGGAGAAGATGATGACACAGCAAATGTGGCAAAATGCTAACTGGGGAATTTGAGTGAAGATATTTGGGTGTTCTTTGTGGTACTCGTAATACTTTTGTGTGTGAAATTATTTCACAATTTAAAAACTACAAAAATGTAGCTTATAGTGGACATATAAGGGCATTTATGACTATTCAAAATCTCCTAAAACCTCATGTTTTAGAAGCTCTCTGCAGCCTTTCCAACACAGAAGCCACCATCTACACTTCCTGGCCTCCCTTGCTGCTAGTGGAGAACAAGAATTGGTTTGGGTGGTCAGATCTGTCTGCACAAGACTCTTAAAGCAGAGTTAAATAGGAAAACTAGACTTCCGGATGCTCACCTACGTCACAGCAGAGCCGTGGGGTTCCTAAGTAGTCAGCAGTTCCCTTGGCAGGGGAGTTCCATGGGATGGTTCTGGATTATTTCCCGGAAGCTTGGACTCCAGTCTATTTCTTCAGCTCTCTTAGTGCTTCTGTGAGATACTAATTTTCAGTTAATGTTAGTAATGCCTAGCAGAGATTGCCAAGGACTAGGTACAGTTTAAAATACTTTACACGGCCAGGCGTGGTGGCTCACACCTGTAATCCCAGCACTTTGGGAGGCCGAGGCAGGTGGATCATGAGGTCAAGAGATCGAGACCAGCCTGGCCAACATGGTAAAATCCTGTCTCTACTAAAAATACAAAAATTAGCTGGGCGTGGTGGCAGGTGCCTGTAGTCCCAGCTACTTGGGAGGCTGAGGCAGGAGAATCGCTTGAACCCGGGAGGTGGAGGTTGCAGTGAGCTGAGATCGCGCCATTGCACTCCAGCCTGGGTGACATAGCAAAACTCCATCTCAAAAAATAAAATAAAAATAATAAAATACTTTACACATACCATTTCAATCTTCACAAAACTCTTAACTGCAGTAAGAACTCAGGTCAACACTTAGGTCTTGCATCTCTCCAGAGGGCATACAGTGTGTTGGGGAGTGGTAAGGAGAATGAAGGTTCTGGGGCTGTGAGAACTGTGTAGGAATCACCCATCTGCACAGTCAGCCACTCCACAGTACAGACTAGTCCCTTGGTCACAAAACACATTTCAACTTCTGCAAGAACTCTTGAGTCCTGAGAGTCAACTGAGGTCACAGGGAGCATCCTAAGGCAGGATGTGCAAACTTTCCTATCAAGGACCAGAAAGAAATACTTTGGCTTTGTGCACCATATGGAATCGACCACAAGTGCTCGATTCTGTGGTGCAGAAGCTGCCACAGCTCTCTGTAAACAAATGGGCACAGCTGTGTTCCAACAAAACTTTTATCTACTAAAACAGATCAGGGCTAGGTTTTTCATGAAACTGTGTCCTGACACCCCCAGACCCACTGGCTAGCAGGGAGGGGCCGCTCAGCACCTGGGCTTTCTCCCTGTTCAGGGAACAGGAGCACAGCTCTGAGAACTAAGGATGGGGGTGAGTGAGCTGGGTCCTCAAGGCAGGGCACTTACTAGGTGGAAAAAACAGCTTGCAAGCTCTTGGGCATGAAAATGAGGTGCATGGAGAGAGCGTCCTCTGTGGCCCAGAAGTCAGAAGCTGGAACAGCCACATGGAACTGTGCAGCACCCCAGAACAGGACATGGGGGCCTGAGTCACAGCAGACCAGTGAGAGGAGAGAGCTGACCTCAGATTGCAGATCTGTATAAAGAAAAGTAGGGTGGCGGGGGAGCCTTGGGTTCAAGTTTTGGAACGGAGGAACAAAGAAGGGCAGGAAATTGGTGATGAGTAGGTACCACTTCTGGGGAAGATGACAGAGCAATCAGACCTGAAAAACTTGACTTACTCAAAATATCAATTACAGCCAGTGACAAAGAATTCACCCCACACAATGAATTACCAATCAAAAAAACTACTATGGTTATCTCAAACCAAATGTCACTTTACTTTTTTGGTAACTTTTGATTACAATAATAAACTCTATTCATGAATATGTAGCCTCCATAATCTTCTCCCTTGTAACAAACGTGCAGTCTGTTCACAAGCTGTAAAAACAAACCCAAACTCAAGACATCACAAGAGGCAAGAGCAGTGGCAGTGAGAAGGGAGCCCGAAACGGATGTTTCAAAGGAGGGTTCCAGGCCATGTGGCCACTGGATGTGGGGCAGTGAGCTGAGTGCAGGCTTTCGGTCTGGGAAGTGGCAGAGGCTGAGACAATGGCCAAAGCGGAGCTGGAGAGGAGACTATGCTCAATTTCACTCCTGCCAGCCGAACAGGCTACTCCCTGGTGTGAATCAACTGGTGTTTGATCAACTTTGATCGCTGGCTGAAGGCTTTCCCACAAGCAGCGCAGTCGTAGGGCTTCACCCCAGTGTGGATCCTCTGGTGCTGGATGAGGACGGAACGCTGGCTGAAGGCTTTCCCACACTCACTGCATTTGTAGGGGCGCTCGCCAGTGTGGATTATCTGATGCTGAATGAGGTGTGAGCTCTGGCTGAAGCCCTTACCGCATTCAACGCAGGTGTAGGGTTTTTCCCCAGTATGAACTTTCTGGTGGTGAATGAGATTGGAGCTTCGGTTGAAGGCTTTGCCACACTGGCTACACTCATGGGGCTTCAGCCCATTATGAATCCTCTGATGCTGAATGAGGGTTGAGCTCTGGCTGAAGGTTTTTCCACATTCAGTACATTCATAGGGCTTCTCTCCAGTGTGGACTCGCTGGTGAAGGATGAGGTTGGAGCTGCGACCAAAGGTCTTCCCACACTCGTGGCACTCATAGGGCTTGTCACCTGTGTGCACGCCCTGGTGTTGAATGAGGGCTGAGCTGTGGCTGAAGGCCTTCCCACAGACACTGCATCTGTACGGCTTCTCTCCTGTGTGGATGATCTGGTGCTTCCGGAGCACTGAGCTGTAACTAAAGGCTTTTCCGCACACAGTACACACGTGAGGCTTTTCTCCAGTGTGAATTCTCCGGTGTTGAATAAGGCTGGAGCTCTGACTAAATGCTTTCCCGCAGTCGCTGCACTTATAGGGTTTCTCTCCAGTGTGAACCCTGTGGTGCTTAATGAGGTTGGAGACCCGACTGAAGGGCTTGCCACAATCATTACACTCGTAAGGCTTCTCTCCAGTGTGGACCCTCTGGTGCTTCCTCAGGTGTGCGCTCTGGCTGAAGGCTTTCCCGCACTCGCCACACTCAAAAGGCTTCTCTCCTGTATGAGTTCTGTGGTGTTTGATGAGGTTTGAACTTCGCCTGAAGGCCTTCCCACACTCACTGCACACATACGGCTTCTCCCCAGAATGGATTCTTTGATGTTGGATGAGGTTTGAGCTCCGCCTGAAAGCCTTCCCACATTCATTGCATTCATAGGGCTTCTCACTCATGTGAGACTTTTGGTGCTTTTTAAGGCTTGAGTTCTGGCTGAAGGCTTTTCCACATTCGTTACACATATAAGGCCTCTCACTGCTGTGGTGACTCTGATGCCTAGAAAAGTCTGAGCACCCTCGGAGGGCTTTCCCACATTCGCTGCACTGGCAGGCTTTCTCACTCATATGAGATCGATGACAGCTTTTAAGAACTGAGTTCTGGCTGAAGGTTTTCCCACAACCATCGCACATAAAGGAAGCCTCTCCGATGTGGAATATTTGATGCTGAATAAGGTCAGGATTTCCTTGGAAGGTTTTCCCACATTCATTACATATGAGTGGACTTTCAGCTGTGGGAACCCCCTCATGACCAGTTAGGTCCACGCAGTGCTGGAAACTTTGGCCATCCATGTCATACGGATGTGGCCTCTCTACTGTAGGGATTTCCTGACATGACATCAGGTTTGGGCTCAGACTGAAGCAACTGTCAAAACCATTACAGGCCAGATCTTTCTCCTCTAAGGCACCCCTAAGGAGCCCCAGGGCCGCTGGTGTGAAGTCCCCCTCCTGGGAGAGGGACTGTGGCAGCCTCCTGCCTTCAGAGACTCCCCAGTCTCCTTCTGATGCATCATCACACAGATCTCCAAGCTCGGGCACCTGGGAAACATCATCAGCACAGTTTTCTGATATTTCTGTCTGTGATTCCATATCTTCATGAAAGTCTTCCTTGTGAAGAAACTCCTTGTCTTCAGTCCTGGTGTTGCAATCTGAAACAATAAATAGAATATCACTTGGAAGGCAGTGCTGCAGCAGAAGCAGGAACGTAGACGGCCAGAGTTGCACCCACTAACTGTGGAGGAGGCAAGGGGAGCAGGGGACCCTCCAGGGTGGCAGTCCAGATCAGAGGGCATCAGGGAGGAGTGGGAGGAGTGCTGGATGACAAGGCTGCATGGGGTTGCAGATGAGTACCACTGACCTGCCCTCCCCGCGACTCCACATCTCAGCAAACGTTACTGCAGTCTGCCTTCTGGCTCAGGCCAAAATCCTGGGTGCCCCTTGACTCCCCTCTTCTTCGACACCCACACCAAATCACTGGCAAGTCCCATCGGCTCTACCTTGGAATGCAGCCCAAATCCAGGTGCTTCTCACCTCTCCCACCTGTACCAGAAAAACACCTCATACCACTCCTCACACTGTTACATATTTTACCCTTTTTTCTCTCCACACTGCCAGGTGTGAGCCTCACCAGCCTATCTCCAGTTCTCTCAGTGCACACTAATGGCACTGAGCTTGGTCTTAGGAGACACTAGAGTAGAGAGAGACCCCGTTGCACACAGAGAAGAAACCTGGCTCTCAGAGCCTGGCAAGTCAAGTTGCATGGAGGCATCATTCAACCACTCCGGTGTGGCAGGGACCTGTGTGGAACGTCAGATTCCATCCTGTTCAACAGAGGACCCTTTAGAGACTGCTGTGTCCTGTCAAAGCCACCTGCACATCTGAAAACCTGCAATTCTGACTGGTGTTTGCTGGATGACTTCTGGCCCAGTAACAATGTGCATCATCGTTCTGCAGACAGAAATGCACACACAGCTCTGCGTCTGCCAGAAAAGGCTTCAGCATCTCCCTCTCCCCTCTTCATACCTGCAGAACAAAGAAACCTTCATGTCCCTGTGTCCCTTACTCAAATGAAGACGTCGAGAGTCTCTCATTCAAACTGACATCCCAGGCCACACTGCCACCTGGATGCTGAGTGGCTTCCCCGGCCCCCAACCTCCCTTCCTGCCCACAGCCTGGTGGCATCAGACCTAGCACCATCATGCACTCAAACCTCCTCTCAGTGCCTCCTGGGCCTGTGTGGCCCAGGCCCTCCTAGACCCCACCTCTACCTCTGCTCCTGCTATTCTCTTAGCAGGGCAGATGTGTCCACCCTTGGGTCTGCTCTGCCCAGAGCACTCTCCACATGGCCCTCGTGCTACCCGCTTCCCTTGCACAGGCCTCGCTAGAGAGCCCTTCCCTGATCATAAATGCCACCACCCCACCTACTTTCCTCGCCCCCCACCCTGGCTGTCACCCACAGCCTGGATCACTCCTTGATACAGGACTGCATCCCCCAAAGTGGAGGACCTCTGGTCTAGCTGTAGTCCATAGTGCTGAATGGGTGTGAAGGATGCCCCTCCCTGTCTGGGACTTCCAGAATCTGCCATAACAGCCTCCAGTCTGGAATTGTCTGTTCCCAAGGAGCTGTGGTGTCAATGCAGACCCAATCTGGCCCAGCCCTCACCATGACCCTCCTGGGACTTGCCCCTCTGCCCACTGCACCCACGTGTCTCCTGGTGACACTTCATGTTGGGTCACCTGACACCTGAGGTCCAGACACATCATGCTGTGCCGCTTTCAGCCAGAACACGCGCTTGCAGCTCCCTGCTTCCTGGAGTCTGGGATCAGCCCTCTCCTCTCCTACAGAGCTGCCCTACGTGCCAGCACACAGATGTGGGTGCCTTTACCACCCTGCTGTCCCTTGGCAGGCCTGCTGTTATACACTCCACGTGGGCTGCAGGGGCTCCCCCATATCCCCCACGAGCTTCAGCTCTCCCTGTCAGAAGCCCCAGCCGTGGCTCCAGGGGGTGTCTGGGAAACGTGGCATCTACATGCTGCTGGGCTCCCAGGAACAATGAGGAATGGGGGCTGGTGGGACAAGTGAGGTCTGGACAGAAGTCTTCAGCCCTGACAGGGATGTCCTGGGACTCGCTGTCCAGCTATCCTCCGCCCCTGCCAAGACCCTGACTTGGGAGACCCTTGCCCTCTTCTGGCTGTGTGGAGAAGTGACCCAAGGAAGGACGAAGAAGGCTGTGGCAACAACACAGACAGGAGTCAGGAAGGTATTTCTGTGAAGGGTCGGAGAGGAGCTGTGTCAGGTGTTAACGGCTCTGTGATCTCTATCATATGGTCTTTCTTGTTCCTGAGGTTAAAAAACACCTCAAAACCATTTTTAGCTTGCAGGACATAAAAACCAGCCCACTAGCTGGATTTGGTGACCTCTGGCTGAGATGAGATGTCACTGGTGTGGAACAGGAGATGGTGACTATGAGGAACAGGTTGTCTAGCCTGAGCCACTGTTTATATAGATCAAAGTCTTTTATTGAGACAGGAACTAAAGGTGAATTCTGTAGGTGAGAATGGTGAGAGATCACTCTTTGGACTGACTAAATTCAATGTAATTCTTCTCTGTAATATAGAAACTGTGGGGAAAATGAGTTCCTCTACAGAAAAGAAATATAAAATAAAAAAATTTCATTTTCCTTTTAGAAATTTTTTTTTTTTTTTTTTGGTGAGACAGAGTTTGGCTCTTATAGCCCAGGCAGAAGTGCAATGGCACCATCTCAGCTCATTGCAACCTCCGCCTCCTGGGTTCAAGTGATTCTCCTGCCTCAGCCTCCCATGTAGCTGGAATTACAGGGATACACCACCACGCCCGGCTAAATTTGTTTGTATTTTTAGCACACATGGGGTTTCCGCACGTTGGTCAGGCTGGTCTTGAACTCCCGACCTCAGGTGATCTGCCTGCCTCAGCGTCCCAAAGTGCTGGGATTACAGGTGTGAGCTATCGTGCCTGGCCAAAGAAAATCTTTTTAAAAAGTCAGTAAACTTTGGGCTTAAAGGTGAAGAAAAAGATTTGAAAGCAAATACAGTTGCTTGCACTGTACTCTTGACACCCAACTGGAGAAAAGGACAAGAGCTCTGAGCCCTTCCAGAATAAAACACACCTTTTGTGAAGAGAAAACATCTTTATGATTAAAGGCTTTTACGATGAGTGGGATAATTACTCGAGTTGTAAACCACGTCTGTGTGGGCGCCGTGCGTGGCTGTGATAAACCACGTCTGTGTGGGTGCCATGCGTGGCTGTGATGAACCATGCCTGTGTGGGCGCCGTGGGTGGCTGTGATAAACCACGCCTGTGTGGGTGCTGTGTGTGGCTGCTGTGCATGGCTGGGATAAACCACGCCTGTGTGGGCGCCGTGCGTGGCTGTGACAAACCACGCCTGCATGGGTGCCGTGGGTGGCTGTGACAATCCACGCCTGCGTGGGCGCCGTGGGTGGCTGTGACAATCCACGCCTGCGTGGGCGCCGTGCGTGGCTGTGACAATCCACGCCTGCGTGGGCGCCGTGGGTGGCTGTGACAATCCACGCCTGCGTGGGCGCCGTGCGTGGCTGTGACAAACCACGCCTGCGTGGGCGCCGTGCGTGGCTGTGACAAACCACGCCTGCGTGGGCGCCATGTGTGGCTGTGATGCGCCAGTGGCTGCACCACATCCTTCCTCAGTGCCTCGGCTGGGCTGTATGTTGAACAATCCCCAGAGGCACCTCACACACAGATGGGGGGCTCCTTACTTCTTCACCTCCTACAGCAAGTTGTTTTCATTTGATTTAAAAATTTACTGAGGTGAAATTAACGTAACATAAAATCATTCTAAAACGAACAATTCAGTGGCATCTAGTACACCTACAATGTTATGCAACCACTACCTCTATTTTCAAAACATTCCCATCACTCCAAAGTAAAACCTGTTACCCATTAAGCAGTTTATCCCCATCTTCCTCTCCCTCCAGCCCCTGGCAACCACCAATCTGTATTGTCTCTACGAATTTACCTATTCTGGATATTTCATACAAATGGAATTACATAGTATGTGACCTTTTGCGTCTGGCTTCTTTCACTTCGCACGTTTTAGAGGTTCATCTGCGTGTAGCATGTACAGTACTTTCTTTTCGTGGCTAAATTATACTCATTTGCATGTAGACACCACAATTAATCATTCATTCATTGACAGACATTTGGGCTGTTTCTACCTTTCGGCTATCATGAATACTACTGCAGTGAACATAATATACATGTACTTGTTTGAGTACGTGTCTTCAATTATTTTGAGTATGTATCTAGTAGTAGTACCATGTTCAAACTTTTGAGGAACCACCAAATTATGTTTCAGAGTAGTTATGCCATTTTACATTTCGGCCAGCAATGTATGAGAATACCAATTTCTCCACATTCTGTTGAATATCCTTTATCTTTTAGTTTTTTAATTACAGACATCCTAGTGAATGTAAAATAGTAATCTCATTATGGTTTTGATCTGCATTTCTCTAATGACTAACGATATTAAGCACCTTTTCTTTTGCTTATTAGCCATTCATATAGTTCTTTGGAGAAATGTCTATTCAAGTTCTTTGCCTTTTATTTATTTATTTATTTATGAGACGGAGTCTTGCTCTGTCACCCAGGCTGGAGTGTAGTGGCATGATCTCAGCTCACTGCAACCTCCGCCTCCCGAATAGCTGGGATTACGTGTGCATGCTACCACTCCCGGCTAAGTTCTGTATTTTTAGTAGAGACAGTGTTTCACCATGTTGGTCAGGATGGCCTTGAACTCCTGACCTCAAGTGATCCACCCGACTCGGCCTCCTGAAGTGCTGGGATTACAAGTGTGAGCCACCATTCCCAGGCCGTTTTTAAATTGGGTTGTGTTTTGTTGTTGATTTGTAAGACTTCTTTATATAGTCTACATACTACACCCTTATCAAAAATATGATTTGCAGATTTCCTCCCATTCTGCAGGATGCTTTTTTCACTTTCTTTCCTTTTTTTTTTTTTTTTTTTTTGAGACAGAGTCTTGCTCTGTCACCCAGGCTGGAGTACACTGGTGCAATCTTGGCTCACTGCAACCTCTGCCTCCTGGGTTTAAGTGAGAGCCTCCAGAGTAGCTGGAAC